ATTCCTGCAATTAAAAAGCACATACAAAAAGCACACACAAAACAGTAGGTGATGTAATGTTAACATTCACATACATTTTCCTCCAATTACTTGGCACTCAGGAAAGAGGATAAGAACTGAGGAAGAAGCAGCCAAACACATGCAAGTGGCATTTTCTTTATATTATTTAGATCTGGATCCAGAATACAATGTAGCTATTTATATAAAAATCAGCAGCAAATATTTCACTCTATACACTTTCTTTCTGGTCTAATTTTCAAGGAAGCAAAACTGTTTCTGAACAATTATCTGAGACGTTACACATTCTGCAATGCCAAGTCTTGAGACAGGATTGCTGCATCAGAAAAAGAAATTGATTAAGACATGACAGAGAATAGGTTGTTAATGGTGAAATGGGTCCAAAGTTAGCTTTGCAGAAGGCATAGTCTTCTCTAGCCTGCAAACAACTTCTTCCATTAATAGCAAATACTAGTCTAAAATCTAGCAAAGTAGCAAACACTCCCATGCAAAAAGCTGAAAATGCAGAAGCAACAGCATAAAATAATTTTCTATTGATCTCCTCAGGATGTGGTCAAGTTAAAAATGTTTAACTTTCCCTTTAGATGGAGCGGGAGGGACTGTTGCTGAAAAGAACAGCCTAGGCAGCAAAACGAGTTCTAGGTAAGCTACTCTACAGGACTGCCATGATGGGAACAATAACATACTGTCAGAAACAAAAGGTGTTATTACAAAAGAAGTGGAAGTGTCTGCTTGACACACTGTATGTTATTTAATATCGTCATGCAGAACAAAATGATTGAAACATTTTTAATGCATTCACAGCTGGGTAACAAATAAGACTCTATCTTGTGCATGCTAGGAGTGGAGAGTCCTCAGAGAAGGAACAGAAGCCAAAACAAAACAAAACAAAAAAAAGATTTACAGTGACCATTCCTGGGAACTTACTCAGAGTCTTTGTTCCATAACCGTCGTCACCTAATCCGGGGATGTCCTGCACGGAAGTCCCCAGAGAGAGCAATGAGAAAGGAAGAACAGCCGCAGAAGAGGAAGGAAGAAGTCAGTGGAGTTGAAATGGATACTACCATGACTGACCATGTTGATTGAGCAATCTGGATCCCTGCTTGTATTTTCTGAAATAATTTTAGACCCATATTCTATGGGAACGCAGCCAATGAAAGAGGCAGTGACCACAATACATGGCTTTTGGAGCTGTGAGGAAGAAGGAACATCCAGATAAAGTTCCAGAACTGATCCTCACTGGATAAATTCAGGAGATAAAAGATAAAAAGTGAATATTTGGGCTTAAAACTAGCATATATTTTTCATAATGCTGCTTCTGTATACCACTTAAGCAAGCAGTAAATGCCCATGAAGGTACACATTCCAAGATCTGATTTACTTCTTTAAACTGTTAGTGTGGTTGCTTCATTTAATTTTTAAACTTTCAGTGAAGCTGCCCATTGCAATCAACTTGGGGAATGTCAAAGGCAAGAAAGAGATTAGAGCAGACTTTTTTAAATGTTCTGATTCAATTTAATATTGTGAAAGAAATCACATTTATATTATTCTGAGCCAGTTCTGATCTGGGAATATTTTATTAGAGATAAGTTTGGATTGATGACTGGTGCCACAACAACTTTGAGGAGCCACATTTGTTCTTCCAAAAGTCAAGGTCACTGTTTCACTCTTCTTAAAATGATGTTTCCAGGGAAGGACCAGCTGGATCCAAACTGCAGTCACACATTGGTCACAGTAGTAATACCTCTCCTGCCTGCCTACGACAAATATTTGCCTAGATGTGTGGGATACTGGTATCATGCGTGTTGCCCATTTTTTGTGCTGCTGCATGTGACATCGTCTCCAAGAGGTTACTTACGTTCTGGATCACTTGTTTCCTGCTCACTCTGCTCCTTGCTCTTGTAGAATGGGAATTTTCGTGAAAAGATGAAGTTCTTTTTACGCTTGTCATTGAATGACTGTGAAGGAGAAAAGGCATGGGGCAAAAACAGGGACGTCTAATTGTTGTCACACTCATGCTGACAAAACAACTAGTTTGTAAAAGTGGAGAGAACTGTAGTGACTCAAATCAGTCCAAACCAAGTGGCTGCAAAGAATCAGAGGTGGTTGTGGTGATGTCTGCAGGTTGAAGGCAAAGGCCCTGCAGACTTGATTGATTTGATTAAGAGGTCTCAGATCACAACCTTCAACTCTTTATTTGGAAACTATCACGTTTGGCTTGTTTAGATAAAGGGCTACAGATGGCTCAGCATGCTTTAAGATCAAGCCACCCATCTTTAAGCGTAATAGACTGTACACAGATTTAATTAACTGACTGAAAAAGAATAGTCTGTAAAGAGGAAAGTGGAAGCCTTTGATTTGCTTGTAGTAGGTATGTGAATTCAGCCCTCTGCCAGAAACAATCAAGTATTTTATTCGGCTAACTGCTACTGATTTCACAGTGTTTTATTTAGCCTCTTAATTTACAGATTGTGTGTTTCAATTTTTTTTTTCTTTTTCATAATTAAAAAACCCCACTTTGTTTTATTTTATACATGTATTAGGAACATGTACATAGGAACTTGTTAGGTTCCTATGGATATGCTTTTAGTTTTATGGGATTTAGAAACAGAATTCTAATAACCAGTATTTCATTGCATGTTGAGCAACATATATTGTTTTAATTCTTCAAAAGGTACATTAATATGGAGGAATTTGGGGGGGTTTACAGAATAAATCCTTTGATTTTATAGACAGTCACAAGGGCTCCTAGCACTGTACTGTGTAACAGCAGGACATGTGTGCTTGGGATGTTTATTTCAGATAATAAATGAGGAATGAGGGTCCCTACACAGTCAGTTGAGAGAAGGTGGCATTTCCAGAAGGCACCTATGCTGAGCTGCAGATAGTGTTTATTTGAAGTGATCTGTGTTGTCTGTCAGACAACGTCCTAAACTTTTTCCTATACTTAACATGTGTAATGTCCAGACACACCATTTTGCCAGTGATCACCTCCAAGAAAGCGTAGACCTTCTTAATTCATTTAAAGGACCAATCTCATGTGTTTGTCATTGCTCAAATGAAATATAACAAGTATTTTGGCTCCAATCCTGAAATTGAATATCTTTAAAGTTTGAGAACATAATTTATGTTCTTACATTTTGGAAGCATTGCATAAAATGTGGTTTAGAACATATATTTCTGAAAGAGGTGATGTTAGATACTGAAAACCTCTATTAAAACAGTTGTCTACTTGTGTCACGAAAGTTTCATGCCACTTTTACATTTCAAGCATATTTAAAATTCAGTAACTGAAAAAAAATAAGGAAAAAAAAAGCACATGTAGAATAAATGATCCATGAAAATCTCTCAAAGTATGTAAACATTCAATGTGAAATTAATGTGGAGGTCATGCACAAATAATGCAGACAGCATGCAGTTTCAAAACAAAGCAAATATGAAAGAAAGCCAGAGGAAAAAAAAAAAAAGCATGTGAAGGTTTAAAGTAATCTGTGGATGAAAAGAGGACTGACATGCACATTACATCACTTTAATGACCTAAAGGATATAATTAAATTAAAATGTGTTTTCTGTGACAATATCTTTTATTTTCCAAAGAAAGGAATGTACCATGTTAACATTTCCCATTGTGAAAACGTTGTTTGTCACGATTCATTGGCATTTGACATAGTAGTACTATAGGCATTACACTTTAAAAGGAAAAAATATATATACACAATAACACCTCCAAACTCAAAAGTTTTTTAAAATAACAATCACTACATTACCAAATGCTATTTCACTTTGGAATTAAAGAGAATGTTACCAAACTGACAAATAAATATGCTGTGTTTCACAGAGATTACGCGATAAATAACACTTATAAATATTCTTTTTCAATTTTCTCCCCAACAGTCTAGTGCAAAAACTTGAGAAATTCCATTTTCACCAGAAAAGCATATTTTTTTTAAGCTTATGCATGTTGTAACAGTACATGTCAAATTAGATAGATATACTGTAGTATTATATAAACTTTTTCTTCTTGAAAAATTTTGCAATTTTGGAAAACTTGAAATTTGAAATGGAAAATTTGAAATTTTGCAATTTCAAGAACTGAGTTGTCTTTTTAATAAGATATTCTTCAACTTTGATTTGAACAGGAAAACCTGGCAATTCATAGAAGGTGACTGTTATCTTCAATTGGCATTTACACCAGGAAAAAAGTCTTGTTCCTCAAAGAAAGCTGAATCTTGGTTTATTAATAACCATAAGTAAATATGTATATGCATGTGTTAATATTTTGATAATCATCGTATATATTCAAGTTAATGACCATATACACTATCGTAGTGTAATCAGAAGGTTTACTTTGAAAATGACAAAGAAACCGTAAAATATTAGAAAACAGAAAAATGGGTCTGATTCTGCAAAATTATAGAAGTGATTAGTCCTTGGTATTACCTGAATGGGCTTACCAAGTGTTTATTTTCTTTTACATTAAGCCTATGTTGCTTCATAAGAAACCAGAGATAAATGAGAGTGCTATTTGCTTACATCTCTCAGCCAGCTGCAAAATTTTCATGCAACTGGAATTGATTCAACAGAACTTATGCAGGCAGAGTAAAGCTGGTGAAAAAATGCCAGAAAATGGATTCCTGTTTAAGTCACTGTTTCTTTGCTGTGGATATTGTAAAACCTTGTAATGGCAAATAACTCAGGCATTTCAGTTGCAGTGAAAAAACTGTGCAATAGATTACTTTTATACCTCACTGCCACCAGTTCACACAGACCACCACTAATCTAGGAATTTGCATTAGCAGACACTTTATATACATAAGTAACTAAGCCTAAGAAACAAATAAAATTTTCAAGTACTATCTGACAGCTGAACAGTGAGGTCATGCATCACAACATTTGAACAGTGATGGAAAAAAGAGCCTTTCCTGAGAAGAAAAGGGGAGAAAAGCTTTCACTGGTGTCCTTGAATTGTTGTTTGATGCTACTTAGGCATAGACTGTGTTTTGGAGAAGCCAGAAAAAAGTAACGTGCACTCTTTCTTGACCAAATATCCCCAGATGTCCCCACTTATGTAAGTCTGGCTTGCTTATACCCACCTTCCCTGGTTGTGACAGACATTAAGACACTGTGTGTTTCTCAGTCATAAGAATTCCCTTTGGTACTTTTTTTTTTTTTGTGTAAACATCATCTTTGTGTTCTAAATGCTTTTCTGTAGGTGCAGCAGCCATATATTACTCATCAGTTAATAGGATAATGTTCTTTAAAGAAAATTTTCATGTAACATTGAGTAAGCAATCCAATTTCAAATTTTTCTTTATGGTGGTAAACATCACAAAGAACAGTGCATCAGTAATTTGATAGTTGTACCATACTGTCATAGGCAACTATACTTTGAGCTTCTTCCCAATATTTTTTTCACAATGTAGCTGATCCAGCCCATACTGTTTAGTGCAGGTGTGCTCTTGATAAAGATTGCCCTCTTTATGCTTTGCAGAAGAGCCTAATATGTTGAGGAAAGATTGCTTTTGATGCTCTAAAAGCTCTAAAAGCAACTATATCTTCTAAAAGCCATTAAACTCCAAAATGCATTGGGAATAATTTATTTTGCTATTTCATTCAACCAATGTTAATCCTCAGTCATGAGCGGGGAACCAGTGTTACTGAATCACCTGAGAAAAAGCTGTTCCAGACCACTGGCTGTGAAATTCTTTTATACAGGGTATAGATGAATTTAATTTACCACCTATTTTTAGGCAGGCTTGAGCTAAGCTTTAGCCTAGTTTTTATATTGCATATTTATCTGTATCAGTCTTGTTCTGAGACTGGTCTAGCAACATACATGAATTCATTAATTGTGATGTTTTTTAAAATTTTTTTGTCCTTTAATACCTGGTTTTGGTCTAATTTAAATGAAAACGCCTCAGTTATACAGCATTCTACAAAGATCTACAAAATTTATCTGCAACATTATGTCTCTGCAAACCTTTTCCTTATGCTTAATTCGCTCCTTTTGTATCAGGGACATTCTTGTACTCTGTTTGAACATTGAATTTAATAAAAGTTTGGGCACTCAACTGCTGTTAAATCTCTACAGGTTAAATCTCTTCCATCATACCAAAAAGTTGCACTGATACCAGAAAGAAAAGTTTTGGAGTGTAACAGGTACTTGGTGTCATTTCTCCTTTCATATCACCTCTCTGTATTTATAGTGGTTTTTTTCATTTAACCGCCTCATGAATATGAAGTCTCCAAAACAAAGTTTTGAAGACAATCCTGTGTTAGCATATTTGCTTTATGTGAAAAGTGGTTTTGCAGTTAGCATGGTTCATCATCCCATCTGCAACACTGGGACTGGAGCACTGCCCTCCTTTGTGGGGACTAAGCTGATGTTATGACCTGATGACATGGCAGTTTCTTTCATTAAGATAATGAATTATACTGAGTTAAGTGACTTGACCAAGTGTAGAAGAAAGCCAGTGCTACTGAGCTGTTCTTCCTTTCCTGGTGCAACCAGAAACTTGGCCATCAACTGGGTTCACACACACAGAAAACTCCTAATGATGTCCCTGCAGACATGCAGAAGATAAATTAAGAAGTTGTTAGTGGCAACTCAGCCTGGTAGTATAGCAAGTATGCAGTATGTTCCTTAAGATATGCATCTTTTGTTCATGGTCTGACCACACAGCTCTGTCCTGGCAAGCAACACTATTCTGTTAAGTTTAACCTTGAACTTTGGGTGAGAAGCTCAGATGAAGATGACTCTGCTTGCTTAGTTTTCCCATGAAGCTGCAGGGAGATTTGGATCTTGGAAATACAAAATCATAGAATCATAGGATCCTTTAGGTTGGAAGATACCTTCAACATCATCAAGTCCAACCATCAAGCCAACACTACTAAGTCCTCTGATAAAACAGAATCAGAATCGGAATCTGTCAGGGTTGGAAGGGACCACAAGGATGAC